TCTCCTCCAAAAAGGAAGTTTGGGTCTTCTTCTTCATGAATTGTAAGATTTTGAGAAATCTCCCCAGAAAATTGTTTCTTGATGTCAACTCTTCTTCTTGCAAGGATCCTTTTATTAGCCTCCATGCCCAACGCTATGCCATCTAACAAAACATTTCTAGCAACTTTCTCAGACTTGGGCAAATGATCTAATGCAGAAAGTTGACAGTTAATGGAAGCTAGAAGAACTGATTGACAACCTTGTAGATGTATGTCACGCTTCTTAACACCAGTTGAAATGTTACGCCATAGTTCTAATTCAACTTTAGGCACCCCAATATCAACATTAGCTGCAGTGGCATGTAGATTCATTTTCTTCTTCATAAGATCCACAGATAGCTTATTCTTAGATAATTTATTGGCAAAGTGAGCCACGCCATCAGACAAAGCAGGACCTCTGATGTCATCCATGCACAACTCAGCAATGAAACTATCAACATCAGAGTCTCCCTGAGACTGAGTGTCATCCTCACCCAGCAGCACTTCTAAATCATCAATTTCGGAGGGTTCCCCAGCAGGGTCACGAGCACTGACAACCTCCTTGGTCTCCAAAGTAGAAATGCGCTGCTGCATATCTTTTAGATTATTTAGAATCAAATCCAGCTTGGATGACTCAGATTGCTTAGAAGTGGAGGGACCATCTAAATGTTCTGTCAGAACAACATCTTCATCACCACTATTCATAATGAATCTGTCTGCAGGTAAACCTATAAAGGTTAAATAAAAGTGACTATAGTATCATGAACAATCAATGTAGCTCAATTGAGTCTACTAAAATTGGATGTCCAACAAGATCATCCTGACCTCAAAAATAAGGGCCACACAAAATGAGGTACCCTCCAGTCAAATATTACAACTTAGATGTCCATAATAGATCATCCCGACTCTAAATCTGGGCAAAATGATACGAAACAACGTATAAATCGGCCACTCTTCATTGAGGTACCGACCCAACTTAAGAGTCGTTTATGTAATATTTAAATCCGTACATAAAATTACCAGAAGATAACAAACTAGAAGAATCTACTGCCTACCAGAAATCCTTTACGCAAGTAGAATAATCAGTTAACAATTCGCCCATAAAAACCACCGAAAAACTAACTGAATACACACCAAAAGGAACACGCACCTGTCTCTTACAAAACTAACATGGCGGCCTCCATGAAATGCCATGCAGACACACGTGTAACGGAAAAAATCCTAATACCAATCTTCAGACAAATAACTACTACGTCAACAGAATATATCTATATCTACAAAAACAGTTCAAACTAAGGAATGTTAATAAATTAGTAAAAGAAAGAAACTTACTCATAAAAAGGACAAATAATGACGGCGGTTGAAATCCACGATCCTCATGTGCGAGTGGGAAACCACGACAATGACACGAGACTCTGCGAGATGTGGGACTGCGCTCTTCAGATGTTAAGACGGAGCTTGCATTTAAGACAGAATTTGCAGTTTAACATAATGTATCCATGATACTTAATGTACTTTTGCATCAGAATTGACAGTAGCCTATTTTGTTATTTCCTGCTTTTTGTCTTTTTGATGTTTCAGGTACATTTGACAGCTTTGCTGCCTTGTTTTATTTATTAAGTAAAGATTTTTAACAGAGTTGCTGTGAATATTTAAAGATACATCATCTTTAATATTAGATTGAAAATAAAAATGGGAACTTGCATATGTACAGTGTAGCAGATATATTTCTAACTAATTATAGAGATGCGATTTTGATCAAAACTGGAACTTGGTCCAAGAAGATAGAGGTGAAAAGGGCAAGCAGGGGAGAAGAGCTTAGTATCAACTTTGTGAGCCAAGAATGGGGTAAAGTTAATCTCATGTGAAGTTTTACTTCACCTTTCAGTAATGTTTATTGAAAATTTAAATTTATTTCAGTAATACAGAATTCTAATAAATTGCTGTTTAGATTTTATAGCTTATTTATGCATCATTCTAGTTGGACTGGATGTGCAAAGCACATATACGCCATTCTACACTGGTGCTAAGAAACTTGCAAGAAATGAAGAAGTCCAAAAAACAAAGGTTTATTCAGTTTTGTTTTGGCTATGTGCAAATAAGTATGAATATTATAATTCTTCACAGTTACTGTGGACTTGGTGAAATAGTTCGTCAGATGTTTAATCCACTCTGTTATTTCACTTAGATTCTTCAGTTATCAGCTAGAAAAAACACTGACCACATAACTGCAGTTAGCCATAATTAATATAACAAACAAGAAAGTATTGGAGAACAATAACTTTAATTTTTAGTTGACTGAAGCTACTAAGTGGGAAATGATTGAAAGCAAAAACAAATTCAAACTTTACAAAAAAATTAATTAAAAAGCCTCTTTAGTATTGACTGAAATTGTTGATATACGCATATTTTAGGTATTGAAAACCTGCAAGAATGACACACCATGCAGCACAAGTAGTGAATATGATGTTTCTCCAAACTCTGCAGGAGGTACTAAAGAATTTGTTAATAAATTGTCATTGTTTTGTCTTGCAGCTTTCTACAATGATTCTCCAAGTGTCACCTTTTTGACTCTGTCATATTTGAGTAAAGTTGGTTTTGTTAGTGCCCCATTGTTTGTATTAGTAAAGTAGGCTGGCACATATCAATCACATTGATATTTTAGATGGAAGCCCCAATAATCATCATCTGCACAACAGAATGCCATGTGGACATCGTTGCAACAACAAATCTGCATGCGGCCATGAATGTTGCAAATTTGGAATTGCCTTAAAGAGACCTCAAAAGCAGCAGCAAGGGTCAAGTTTTGATAAGCCAAAGTCAGCTCCAAGAAGTGCCACAAAGGTTGACAAAATGGATACCTATGTCCAGAGTTTGAAGCAAAAAGCACAACACATTCCAGAAACTCCAAACATAAAAAGGCTAAAGGTATTTCATTTACACTTGCACAACAACTGTTCGTTTTGGCCAAAAAATGAGTTTTCCTGGGGTAAGCAACAATTTTCCCAAACTTACCAATGGTATAATGAGTCCATTCTGACACTCAAAGTTAGTCCTGTTTTGTTTTTCTAAAAAGTTTTTTTTTTTCTCTCTTAAGAGATTATTACAGAGGGTAGCCATCTACTGGTGTGGAGATCACGTGGTCTGATGGCAAGAACAGATTTCAGAATAATTGTGATAACCACTATTTTGGTGGTAAAAGAGAATAAATTATATTTCTATTAGATGTTTACAATGCATTTATTGTGAAATATGAATCTCATATGAAGAACGTTGCTATCCCTTTAAGCTTAATTTTTCAATAAATTAAGATAACATTCTTTGTGGCATTGTCTAATTTTAAAGCGTTTTTCACACGTAATCATGCCTGCATTTTCAGTCACACTTGAAAAACTCATTTTTGTTGCATACAGATGTCAAGTGATGTTAGACCAGGCATTGGGAAATTTGCCTACACACCACGTGGAGTTAGAAAGATCCCCTTTGCACAGACACCAAATCAGTTTACTCATCTGCCAACTGCAACTACACCTCATGGTTGGGATGAGCTGGACTTTTACCAACAGCAACGGACAAACTTGGATTATTGTGTTGAGACAGATAATGGTAATTAACTGTGTTATATATTAGAACATAACAGTAATAGTATTTGCAGGACTTAATTGAATGTGCTCTTCAATCTTCATATTATTAATGCTAGCTTCAAACTTGCAGATGATCCCCCTCAAAGTTCTATCTCTTCAACATCCAGTGCCTTCAAGAAAGCAGGTGAACCCCAACAGAGTTATATCACTCCAACATCCACTACCTTTGGGAACAGATCTTATACAAATCACATGTTTGGGTAAAGGGGTTTTGTATTAGTATTTGGAAGCTTCATATATAAAAATAATTGAGCTAATTTTTTTTATTGAAAGTTTATAAAATTGCACTTTTTCTGTACATTTATAAGCCTCAAACAATAACACTTAGGGTCTAATGTTTAAAATACGATTATGAAAAATGAAAAAAATTTTTCTGTTATGGATTGATTTCAGTCCACTACCTGAAAGTGATGAAGATATTGATCCTACAAAAGCTGTGGTTTATGATGAATCACACGATTTCAATCTTGAGCACAATGAAAATGATGAGCTGCCAGATCTAGTCGGATGTCCCAAACCAAGAAACAAACTTAATTCCCAATGGCCAAAAATTGACATACCAAAAAGGTCTACTGCTTTGTCTTTTGCTACAAATTCATTTGATCCAGTTGCTCCTCAAGATGAAAGCCCAAATTTTGACCTCCAGTTAGGGGATGATTTTGAAGAGGATAAAGTACCTGAAGTGACTGCTGGAGAAAATGCTATCCAGTACAAGCAAATAACAAGAAAACAGGGCAGGGTCTTTGCATGGAGAAGTAATGCATCTGCTCAGAACAAGTCAAACAACCCTATCAAGAGGTTCCACTATCCCAAACATGAAAAGTTAGGGTCTCACAACTGTGAAAGAGGAAACCTCTTAACAACAGACAAAGGAGATACTAGTGGGTAGGTAAAATTAACCAGCATTATATCTTAAGCATATATTACACTTTGTCTAAAATTTGAAGAAAAATTAATTTTGATTTTCTTTACAATTTTGATGAACAGCAAAAGGTTTTTCAAACAAAAATAAAAATGCACTTGTACATATGGATATTGATAATTTAATTTATTTTTGCATTTATACATTTCCAGTGCAATGCGTATCAAGCACAAATTGTCTTCACCAATAAGGAAAAACGATTTCGTATCAGCTCACCAGGCATTTCTTTCTCCCACTGACAAAAGGTAAATTTTGAGGATACCACTATGCAAGAGAATTTAACATTCAGAGATAGATGGTTAAAGTAACGTAATAACAATTCAAGAATATGTGTAGAATGCACTTTTTCAGTCAAAATTTTCTTTTATTGTTTAGTTTTCTCCGTTCATTAAGGTTGAAATCAAATGCAGTCTCTCCAGCTATGAGCTCTGATGATGATGATTTACTTGCCAGTTTTGTTGCTCAGAAGGAAAATGAACTGTTTGCAATGAAGCAGGTACCCCAGTATATTTGACATTCATCTGTTCCATCTTCAAGGTACACAGTGTACCATAAACAGCATAAAATAAAGTCACTGTTTCATCAATACCCCCTTCTACCCTGTGCTCTTGGTAATGTACATATTTTACTTCATTTTTTTTTTCTCCATTTCATTTTCATTGCAGGGAGTTTCACCAGTCATACCGATAATACCACAGAGACCCTCCCCTTTGCCCAACAGTCCCAAATGTGCTTCTTCTGTCCCACCTGCTAATTCATTTGATAGCTGTGGATTACAAAGAACAGCTAAGAATTTACAAAGGGGCTGTGGAATGGTTGTTACTGCAGATAGCGAGAGGTATATTTTTGAATGATTATCACTGCACGTGAACCCCTCCTTCCCACCAGACTAAGGCTTCATTCACATGCAATGTCTATTTTCTAAATTCTATTTTCTATTCGCGGTATGTCTTATGATCACGGTCTGTGCCCTGAATATCCCGCGACGTAATTACTGGCAGCGCAAGCCAGTTACTATAAGTTACTTTAAGTAACTGGCTCGCGCTGCCAGTAATTACGCCGCGGGATATTCAGGGCACAGACCATGATCATAAGATACCGCAAATAGAAAATAGATTTTTAGAAAATAGACTTTCCATGTGAATGAAGCCTAATTTGGTTTGTCTGTTAGGATTTAAATGACTGGAGAAACACATTTGAAGAACGCACTTTCTCCTATAATAATTATTCTCAGTGATAATACTGATATAAAAAATAACTGTTGGGCAAATCATTACATTTTAGTTCAATATATTACAATTCAGTTCAATATATTTCTGTACTGGTACATATATTATTAAATAAGTTTCATTCATTTTTTTCCAATTTGTTAAAATATCAATTAGTGCTATTTCAGACAAAATTTGCCATCATCCAAATGCATGTTTATTTTTCTTGATACTATCCAGAATTATAGAATATAGAGTCATAACTGTTGGGCAAATCATTACATTTTAGTTCAATATATTACAATTCAGTTCAATATATTTCTGTACTGGTACATATATTATTAAATAAGTTTCATTCATTTTTTTCCAATTTGTTAAAATATCAATTAGTGCTATTTCAGACAAAATTTGCCATCATCCAAATGCATGTTTATTTTTCTTGATACTATCCAGAATTATAGAATATAGAGTCAGTAAACTCACATATGATCTTTATTAAGTGCAAAATTTTTAATCATTTCAGTACAAATAAAGAACTGAAAGATGCAGTGGATGTGTTCAACAACATATTTGATGGCATATTTTAACCATGGTGGGAAATGCCAAATACCAGAGGCATCAGTGAGAGTGTTTCTACCATAATACACAATGAGGTCAAATAATTTAAGAAATGTTAACATTAATTTAAGGAATGTTTTAACATTCAAGAAGTGAAATTGTAGGATGGCCATGTGTGAATCAGTTAACACTAATTGGTCAGCTGAAGACAGGATTTTTAAGTGTAATAACAAAGTGTACTTTTCACTGGAATTACATCACAAGAGCCGAGAGACTGTTGCCTTACCAAAGTTTATATCAGTACCAATGCATATTTTCATCCAACAATCAGCATGAGATATATATCTTTGATTTGTGGCTTTTAATCTTTTTATCCACCATCTCTTTACTGAAAACATGCCAATTTCATGTCCTCAATGTTGGCACCAGTTTTAAGGTTCCTACTTTAGTAATTTTGAACTATTTCTAAACTACATTTTTTCCAGTCATTTAGAATTGGTGATTTACTAGAGCAAGTATTAAACATTCTATAAAGTTAAATTTAAAGTTATTTATACTTTTATGTCAGTGATAAATAAATTAAAAGAAAAGAATAACACTGATTTTTAAAATAACATTAAAATACTTTATGTCACAAGAAGCATTTTAATTACTATGAAAAATGTTGGCACAACTTAAGAAACAGACCTGTGTATTCATGAAAACTGAAAAAACACAACTATTAAATTATTTTTTTGCAATGGCAGTGTACTGTTGTTGAACCACCACCAGAAATAGCAATCTAAAACATATCATATCTGTCATAAATTCATTAGCAATATTGTTTCTTTTAAGCTGTAACCAATTTAACACATAATCTTCGCACTGCTATGGTACTTATAACAAACTGGCATAGATCCAATGCACATGGTTCTTCCAAGCCTCACCATGCCATTTTGCTATCCCATTTTCTGTTGACAGGGATGACTGGCCCTTGAAGCTGTGATGATAGCCAGTCCCAAACCTATTCCACTCATAGTCACATTAGAATTTGATTGGATCACAACAGGTTCATCACTATAACTGTTGGTCCAGGTTCCACACATTTTCAAAAATGAAATGAAGTGCTCAGTCGACTTCACATGCATCACTTACGGGTTGGCCTCTCTAGTACATTTTCAAAGAGCCCATATGCCACATGTTCAAACGTGATTTTCTTCACATCTTAGAGACATGATGACAGCAGAGTGTCAATTATTCGTTGTGACTTGTTTTATCAGCTTCAGATCTAACTCCTTCCCAATGTTTTACCGGGTATCCTAGTCTGAAACAAACAGATTTTTATTAAGTATATATTTATTTCTTAAGAGATTATTACAAAAAACACTAAAAAAATGACCAATTTTGAATGTCAGAATGCATTCATTATCCACTTAAAACTAAGGAACACTTGTCATTTATCCCAGAAAAAAAAAAACTATTTTATGGCACTTTTTCAACCAAAATGAAGAGTTATCATCCTGTGTGTGGGTGATTAAAAAAAAAAGTATATTACTAACCAATGCCTCCTCTATAGGGCCCTTTTTAATTTCAACAGATTTTCTATTCAGAACCATTCCTTCTGATTTCAGTGCTTCTTCTGTGGCAGCAAATACCTCTTTAGGTGTTACACCTGACTCAAGGACTTCATGAAACTTTTTCACAAATCTGTAAGAAACACAAGTAAATAAAAATTATGGTACTGATGTTGCTTTTTTCCTTCCAATAACTGGAATCAAAACTGAAAACTGGAAAAATGTCGTGTCCTTATAAAAATTATCAAGATGAAAGCCATTCAACATTTAACAAACAGTCACAAAATGTAATGTCCAAAGAAGGATGCAAACAGCAAAACATAATGCTAAAAGAAGGATGCAAACAAATTTATATTTGCAACTTACACATCGCATGGCAATAGATTCCCATCTTCTGTTAAATCTAATGGCTCATCTTGCTTAAATGTGTTGTAAAATTGCCTGAAATAAAATATTCTTAGTAGATTTATGCAGCATCCAGGCAGAAGATGACTATAACAAATGTAGTTCTTCTTAATGAATTAAATCTGCAAAATCTAGACAAATTAACTACTTTACTGTTAATGATAATCTCTTTTACTGTAAAATTTTGGAAAGATGCCAGCTCAAATTAAGTATCATTATGCTTACGCTCGTATAACATCTTCTTTATAAAATATTCTTGGCACATATTTTCTATCCCCTGTTCGCTTGCTCCATTTTGGATCCCTTGCAGGAGGAAAATGTTCCCAAACAGCAAACCAAGGTGGTTCATCTTTAACCTTAAATGTTTTAGACAGTAACATTCCTCTCATTCTAAAATGAAGACATAGATACATTGATTAACCATGAATATTTTTATATTTATGGGATTGCCCTGTACTTTTTCAAAATATTTCACTTACTTCCCACTGTAACAAGGCAACCGCGTGTGCTGTGTGCATTGTTTTAAATATTGGCCTTAGTTAAACTGCTTAAGAGAATTCTTAGTTTTTTACCATAAATTTAACTTTAACATTTTTAAACAAATGAGTTGTGAGGAATGAGTATTGAGAAGGAATTATGTTGGCATGCAGTTCAAAGTACAGAATACTGGCCACTGTGAGCTCCAGTGGGCAGAGAACTTTTTTTCATTATTGATCATTACTGAATATCACCAAGAAAAGAAAATTAACTTATTTTGGTCATATCATGAAAAGATAATATGCAGCAGTTGTTTACTGGAACGAGGGAAAGGAAGACCCAGAGCAACATGGATACACAACACAAAAGTATGGACCAATCAAAAATTGAGCGAAAACATAAGAATGGCACAAAATCAAGAGGCATGGCAATCCACGACACGGTGTGACTGAAATGCGCAATACAGCGCAACACAGTGCAATACACTTCAAAAATCAAATCCAGTTGCAATTACACTAAAGAAATGGCCATTCCCAGCAAAATAGGGTGATATAAAAACAACCTATATTACAAGGTAAGTAATATCGTTGATATAACTTAACAAATCAGCAAGACTTTTTATTGTCTGGTTGGCAGCCATGTTGGCGAGTGGCTCTTCTTGGATATATTACTGGCCAAGAAGAGCTACTCGCCAACATGGCAGCTGACCAAACAATGAAAAAATTGTCAAGTTGTATCAGCAATATTAATTGATAATTACTATATTTTGCTTTTATATCACCCTATTTTATTTGAGATCACCCTTTCCTGTGTTTACTTGCAACTGGACTTGTGTTATCAAGTGTATTGCGCTGTATTGCAGTGTATTGCGCATTTCAGTCTATCGCTAAACATTGGAAATTAATAAAATAACAATTAAAACATAAATAGATAATTACTGACGCTATACAAATCTTTATACTTATAAACGACCGCTTCTAAACAGGTCCCAGAACTAGTGACTACGGTATAACTACATGAGAAATTAGTACAGTCTTTCAAAGTCTAACTGTGATCAAACTATTTAATTTTGTTTAGTACATCATATCATATGCGGTAAATTAGCAAGAAAATTCATGCGTTTGCACTCCTACCGACGGTTCTGATATGTACAGGTACTGTGTTAGCGGTATATAACGTGCATGTAGACTGCAGCACGTAACACGTGGTTTTTTTATGTCCCATTGTTTAACTACAGTGGCAGTTTAATCTAAACAATAACTTCAAAATTTAGAGTAAAGAGTTATGAGTGAAGTGCAGGCAAATGTATCTTTAGGCTCGCAGAGACAATCATTACCTTGTATATACATTGCCGACTTTCTCGATCCTACTGCCTGCCATTTTGTCCAGCTCTCGTTGTGGTCATGTGACAGTAACAGTAATTGGTATATTTTTAGAAGTATCTTGAGATGTAACTCTTGGCTGATAAATTTAACATTGATTTCATATTTATGATAAACAGATTATCCCAGTAAGAAAATCTATTGCTCGAACACGGTGTAAGATGTAAAATAGTTACTAAATTTAGTACGAGAATTAACGAGATTGTAAAATTGGGACAACACTTTCTGTATCTAAAGGTCAGGCACGAAGTTGAGAGAGAGAAACTTATTACATTGTTTACATTTTTTAGGGTAAGTTGTATTGGTTTTCATATGGAATGAATGGACCTATAACTTAATTTGTGTCTCTATGCTTATTTCCCCTCTTAAATGCATCTCACTACTCAAAAAGGCGCACCATCCCTGTCCAATTTTGGATATAGATGCCGCGCATAAACAACTTCCGAGACCCTTCCGAAATCCAAGTCTAAATCTTTCTTTTCGCTTAAATGTAGTTATCAATTATGAATAAATTAAATATATATTCATTTTTGTGAATTATAGAACACTAAAATTTATTTGCGTATCAAATAGAATATGTGTCAATTGTGGAAAACCTACTTTTTATCGACAAATGCTTTTGGTGTCATCAATATTTAATGATGGTGGGGGAAAATGCAAACCAAGTTGCACATATGAAAAGTACCCTCCCTCTTTGGAGTGTGGTTGAATTTAAAAGTTAATCAAATATTACGCCTTGTAAATTGAATTGAGGATATTTATTTTATGACAATTTCAGATACTAGAATTTCTCCACCCACTCCCATGCTTCTGGACATAAGCTATGATGATTCATACTCGCTGAAAATGCATAATCTTTATATATTAGTGAGTGAGAGGATGTTGCATTTCGCAACATGCCTGTCCTGACAGCCATATACAAAGCATGGCATCAGCAGCACAGGCCAACCAATGGATGACATCCAAACATACAAGTAATATAATAAGTAATCAGCCTCAGTATCAAAAATCGCAGCAAACAACAATGACAACAATGACATCTCAACCACCTGACACGCGACAGTTGGATTTTAACCAGGCCATGCAGGACTTTAAGCATATGTTCCCAACCATGGAAGAGGAGGTGATTGAAGCAGTGTTACGTGCCAATAATGGAGCTGTAGATGAAACCATTGATCAGTTACTGACAATGAACATTGACAATGAAGATGACAGTGTGCCTCTTCATTTACTGAAGGAGGAACATGATTCAGTACAGGTCTGTATTTTCATGGTAAAATCATTAATTGATTTATGTAGGTTTTGAATGTCAAGTGATATATAAAACAATAATTGTCTGTTGAAGTGGACCTTTGAAATACTCCAAGGAAAAAAATTACATTGTATATTGACAGGGAGAGTGACAAAATCAGTAGGCGAATCCTATAAACTTGAGTGAGTCCTTTCACAGCTAGTCTACATGTTTTTAATGTACATCTAAAAAGATGGTCAATAAATGATGCTTACTTCACCAGTCAAAAATAAAGACCCAAGTCCAATCACTTATTTTATCTCCTAAGAGTGGTCTTCAAGGAATGGGCATGGGAGTTACCCATACACAATATTTTGATGGCTTAGAAGTAACAACTTCAATATTTGGTCATACATCACAGATGCTGGATTTATAAATGGGATGTAGTAAGAGGATGTAGTTAGGTTGGCCAGATGAAATTACTGTTTATACTTTTTTGGTTGTTAAACCAGTAATGAGATTTTGATGTGTTTCTTTGATTATTGTATCAATTCCAGTTACAAAACTATAAAGCAAAATGTATCATTGTAATCTAAGCGTAATATAAATTGTGATACATGGTAGATATACAAACATCTCTAGTAGTAGAGATAGATGCCTATCACAGTAAGACAATTTTCTGATGATGACTCACAAACTTATGCCTCCACTGACATACAAAAGATTTTATATAAAGAGGTTACTCAGACATTGGAAACTACTAGTAAGCAAAGTGCAGCAAGTTCTGTGGATGATTGCCCTTCTGTTACAAAAAAGTTTTTTTTCAACTGCTAAATCTGGGATTGTCCATTGGATTAATCTGCACTCTTTCCTCTTCCCTTTCAACAACCTTTTAGCTTGATTATTACTATAAGAAAGTCTTTTTGAAAGGCTTCAGTCCAGTGCTTTTGATATTAGGTGAGTTTGAAATATCATACATGACAGTGAGTGATTATTTTAACTCCAGGCGTCTTAACATACTTAACTAGCTTGCCAAGTTGCCATCTGTCCTACATACTATGATCCATTTCCAGATCCACATCTACTATAATCAGGCAGTGAGGGGAAGGGCACTTCTTCAAGCTGAATGTCATGCTAAAAATATTTTTGTTTACTAATGCTAGTATATACTCAGTAATTCCAACCATTACTTGTCAAAATCTAGGAAGCCCAGTGTTTGTACTAGTAATCCTTTAGGAGGCATAACCCTGATATATGTAGACTCGCCCTTCAAGAAAGTGACGGAAAATGGCTCATTTTCAAATTTGAATGGGCATTGTAGATAAAGTATGACAGCCAAAGCTCTCAAATTTTTGTACATAGATAGGTGGGATATGTTAGGAATAAGTGTTGTAAATTTCAGTCCAAACGGTTGCCTATATTTTGAGATAGAATGCTTTAAATGTGCAGCAAACTGTAACACTAATGTCCTCAAGATCTTGACAAAAAACAAAAGTAGTTGTGACATGATTCCATTGTAGTTGGAAAGCTGCTGGATGATTTCCGAATGATAAATATTTCGTAGCTTTTACAAATATTTAGAAAATGACCATGCAGATAAACGAAAATTCAATAATCCAAATTTAAGCTGTGTATTAAGACAGCTAAAACCGTGCATTTCTGACCTTGACTTGTCAGTGTCAACAGAGCTTACTGAACGCATCCTTAACAAGCCTATAAATATTGCATTTGATACTTTGTATCAGACGCTTCATTTTTATCGACAAAGTGTTTACAATGGGCATGACGGCGGGGAAAAACAGCGAAAAAAAAACATATTTCCGGTTTTTGTCGATTTCTTGAAGGGCGAGACTATGCAATTTCTGCTATAGAAATGTTCTTGCTCAAGTTTGCTTTTATTTGCAGGTTATGTAGTAGGAAACTTAGGTTAACTTCATTTTATCTTGGCCATACACTTTCCAGGGAAATTGTCCAACATTGAATCTCTTAACATGTTTCAACATGTGTCTTGGGTATCATTACCCTTACATAATTTATTATTTGAATAATCTCTTGCTTAAAAGAATGATGGAGATTTGTTCGTTTTGCCAAAAGCAGTTGGAATACCAGTGCAAAAGAAGCATAAATTAGCCAAACAAGCCATGGTTTCTACCCAGTACCATATTTATGCAATTTCTAGATGATTTGGCCTGAAGTTAACTTTTCAGATAGAAATGAATATATTAAGTAAATAGGAAACAGTGATATGCATTTCAAGAGAGTTGAGTGAACAGCTGTTTGTAAAAAAAAATTTCACCATTATGTACTTAAGTTTATTTTGTGCTTCTTTTCTATCTAATTTTGGTGATCTCAGAGAAGCATTCACAGTTAAGAGATAGCAATATCTAGAATATAATTGTTATGATATAGTTATAAATACTAACATTATTTGTCTACATTTTGTGAATCAAACAAATTGTTTTAGAAAATCTGAAATTATTCAGTCACTATTTAAGTAAATTAATGTGACTTTACAAAACTAAATGCAGAAATCATATTGTACAGGAAGATTAGGCACTTGCTTGGTTAGTAATGCTTTTCTTCCACTTCCTTGGAATGTAAATTGCATTAGATGAATAGACTTTACGAAAAAACAAAAAATCTGTCAGATATTCGGTCTGACAAGCTTGAAAATTCAGTCAGACCAAAACAAAATCTGTCAGACTGGAGCAAAATTATACAAACTGTGAGCCTTCATCAAGTTCATGTGCATTTTTCGCCAACTCGTGGTCATAGACAGTACCTGCAGAATCAGACGTCCGGAATTTTTCAGAACTCATAATAAAGCAGTAAGATTTATGTTGTTGATGATCATAGTGATTACTGTAGTATTTCTGACACTCAATGTACAACTCTTTCCTCTCTTCTGGATTATAAGTATATTAAGCAGGGCCTACCTTCTTTCCAGTTTTACTAAACTGATCAATTCGTTTTTTTTTTCCTCACTTTGTTGTCATATTTTTGCCACGCTGTGCACCAACAAAGTATTTCAAGTTCAACAACGTCATTTTTCTAAACAAAAGACTTAGCCATGAGTTCTGCACTCAACTGATAATGAAGAAATATGGCATCAAGTCAGTTAAAAAAATGTAAAACGCAAGGGCACATGTGTTGGGGCCATTTTGTCATGTAAGGATATCATGAGAACGAAAACAAAAAATTTTATATTACTTCATACAGGAATCCCTCAACTTCAGCCACTCACAATTGTATTTGTAGAGTGAAAATGAGGTCAATAAGTCATGTTTAATTAGTAGGGAACTCCCTGGGATTTTTATCCCGTCTCTCTTTTTGAATGAAGTAAAATATGTCTCCAAGGAAAGAAACAAAAACGTATTCCTTAGATTTGTGTATTTTGAATCAGCTTAAAAACTCCCTGGACATAAGGACTGGCAATACAGGATTTTTTTATCGGACCAGTACAAAATTTTTTAGACGGTCTGAGGCCTTTCTTAAAGTCTGGATGAACTTCTGTAGTAGCTTAACTTATTGATGTATATTGATTTTGAACTTGTGTCAATGCATTATGTAAAAGACATTTCATGTATAAATAGTAGATTGATGCTTTATTGGCTCAAATTTACTATATACACAGCCCTCTGGTATCATTCAAAGTGTTTATTCAGTACTTGGTTTACTTGCTGATGTTGAAGGTGCAAATTGATTATGCTCTCTCTTTATCTGTTATTAAAAATTATTCAGTGTAAGACTTATCTGAAACCCGCTCCTCTTCACAAGTATAGAAGTTATTTTTTTATTTTTATGTACAGACACAGATGTGTCTGTACATATAGCCATCATCTGCGTCTGTCGTCACCGTCGTCGCCGTCGCCGTGCACTTTTACCGATAACACGATAAGTGGAAAACCATTTTGCCTTTTGATTTGAAACTTGCAGAACTGATGAATATTCATAATACGCAGGTCAAGTTCGAAAATCAGCATGATCGGGTCACTCTTAGGGAATTCATGCTGTTTTTTCACTTTTTTCAACATATATGCNATTTTTTATTTTATTTTTGTAAGGTTTAGAGAAAAAAAGAAAAAGTGAAAAGGTCACATAAGATATTGGTCATGACTGAAGAATGCATCAAAGGCATAAAAAGGGGAAAACACTTGTTCCAACAGTCTACCAGTGATAAGAACATACCCCTTGATACAATTTCCGCCTGCCTCTCTTATTTCAAATTCTGCATTTTATAATAAAATCTCCCAGATTCTTTTTTATGATTTTCTGACCCACTGAGGATACAGACCCCAAGTTATCAGCCCAGAGGAGTTGACTTATCTCATTCATCAGCAGCAAGAAACTCCTAGATTTACTTGTATTGGATTAGATGAGACAAGTTTCTTTTTTTTTTTTTTTTAATTTAATATATTTTCTCTACACAGTAGCCTTAAGTTTTCTGCATCTGTTGCAAAGGAAATGGATGCAGTTGTTTAGTACTGATAGTCTTACACAATTTCTTAAGTAACACTGTTGTTGGCTACTTGACTCATAACTATTCTTAAAGAATTTGATGTAAAATATTGCCATGATGTGAATTTTGATCTTTTTCTTTATTAATTGGAAAATATGATTTTTAAGCATGATATTTGATTGACATTATCTTTTGTTGATGAAAACAGTTAACAGCAATATTCTCATCTGCAACCACAGTATTTTGCTTTCGAAAGTTCCAAATTTTTTTTTATGCTCCAGAACATTGAATATATTCAAGACAAAGAAATCCATCTATGTAATTGTATCTTTATTTCAGCCTCAAGAAAGGGTAAGTGAAGATGCACCTCCTAGCTATGCAGAGGCCATGCAAACAGCTCCAGATAACATTTCTTTGAGATCAGAGACTGTTCCCAAGCAGTCCCTACCTGAGGAGGACTGGCTTGCTCTGCTGACTTCACCTAACACACAGCCGAAACCAGGTAAAGGTGTTGCAAGCACACCTTCTGGTTCTCCTTATAGTTCACAGGCAGCACCCCCTTACAGTCCTCAGGTGCCACCTTACAGCAGTCACCCAACAACACCAGTTAACTCAACACATCCTAGCATGCCCAAAATGGGGGTATCGGAGTACACGCCTCGAGTAAAGAGGAACAATTACAGACGGTGGAATCCACCCTTGTTAGGAAAGCTTCCTGATGAGTTTCTGAGGATAGTACCCACAGATGAACAGATACGAGCAAAGCAGTCTTTACAATTGCAGCAGCAGCAGTTTCTGAGAACAGACTGGTATTCCCCCCAGTATACTCCCCAGACACACCTTCCCAGCAGGGGACAGTTACATCCTCCAGGATGGGGGCAACTTCACACGCAACATCAACAACATCATCATCAGCAACGTACGCAATGGGCAGACCAGCCTGAGGGTACTCAGAATTGGCGTCAACCTCTGCTTGATCAAAAAGTTCCCCCAAGAGGGAGACAGCATTTTAGGTCACAAAGTATGAATGAATTTGAGAGGAAATCAAAACCCAAAAAGTTGGATTCTAGGCTTGTTCACAAAAGTTTGAGTATACGAGAATCCACTCAACCTAGACCTGTGAATGGGTCACAGAATGGACAGGTGAGATTGCGTTTAAGTTAAGAAATTACTTCCCCTGCTCAAATGTGGCTTTTCATGGGTGGGAGGGTGCAGATACACATGCACAAGTAACTGTTGATTTGAAATAAAGAGAAAATTGGTATTAATTTTTTTTTATTGCATATTAGTTAGTTTGTAAATTTCAGTAATTGTCAGGCAATAGTGAGGATCTTGAAAGAAATTGTTCTTGTAAATTTTTTGTGCCAAAATCATAGATACAACCCCTTTTAGGAAATGTTTTAAAGCATAAAGATGCCAGTTTAGACTAATATCTGATTTTGGTCTTTTATTTATTTTGAAAATTCTTGATCCACATAAACTGTTTTGCCAATAACAAAAAGCAATTTTATCTGTAATTTGTAGCCTTTGCAAGGATCAGAATTTAGCAGTCACTCACAGATGCTACAGAAGCGTATGGCAGAAAATGAGCGGCGGAGAGCAAGCACCAACAGGGAACTAGACCCTGAGATGGCTCAGTACTTGGAGGATGAAAGACTTGCTATTCTTATGCAGAATCAGGAATTTTTAAGAGAATTAAGGGGCAATGAAGAATTTATGAAGACACTAGAAAGAGGTGTGGCTTTGATTTTTGTCCTATGAATTTGATAACTCATAGCAATCAGCTTCAGTGTGCATTACAAATTAAGGACCAAATTAGAAGTAAAAATTGTTAAACAAGCATGCATCACCTCTAAAAACATTGTTTGTTAGAGCTATTTTCTTTTTCATTTGATTCCATAAGATATATTTTGCTGTGCATAACATTTCTGTATAAATTATTTGTACTTAGCATTGTGAATTGGAAAATAGTTTTAAGACAGTATAAACTACAGATAAATAACTTGCAGAAAAGTTTTTTTTTTTTCATTTTGTCTTCTCATTGAATCATATGATAATAAAAATGAATTATTCATTTTCAGATCGCATGAATAGAACAGCATTTGAGTTTCATAATGCTCCTGACTCCACTTCCTCTTCTGAAGAAGGTATGATAGTAGCTCCTTTATATACCAACTATTAACATTAGTCATTTGAAACATATGTTGAAATCTATCTATCTATTCATCTCATGCAATAACCTGTCATGCCTGTTTATGACTGTTACATAATGACAAATGTGCTTTCTTCTGGAAGGGTAATTATATTGCTTGTTGCATTAATACATCCTGCAAGAACTTTTGAGTTATTTTAGTGCGCTGTTCTGTGCATATTGATGTTTTTGTGTATTTTTCCCCCAAGATATCAAACTTGTAAGTTTCTGTCAGAAATCAGTTTCCTGTAATGCAATTAATTTTTTTTTTCACAGATAATACCCCCAGATTACAAAATCGCAGGAGACGTTGTTTAAGTCCAGAGTCAACTTCTTCCAGTGGAGGTAAGATCTTTATATGCTAAAAATGCTATTTCTCATCAAGATACAATTGAATTTTATAATAAAATTGATGTCTTTTTTTTGTTAGCAGTAATCACTGCATTTTATGCTACTATTTACAGTCACTGCTATATTTTGAAAAATCACAGAAATGTAAGCAGTGAATTACTTTTATTTTTTTGTTTCAATTGGATTGGTTTTTAACTTTTATTGCCTTGTGTATATTATAAGGTGCTGGTTTGTGGGCATGTTGGTTTCTGTTTTGATTTTATGTAAACTGCAGCATGTTGGCTGCTACTCAGTTCATCTTTATGCAGCAATTTATTTTCTGTGGTTTGGTTAGAAAAGGTCTACAGATATATGTACTTCACAGAATTAAAAACAACCCATAAGCTAATTATCCCTATCAATTATGATTGATGTTTGGCTGACTGAGAAAAATGATTATGCAGAACCCACCATTTCTTTCATTTTCTTTCCTCAATAAATAATGCTTGGTCACAGCATGTGAATTCACACACTAGCATGCGGCTTTTGTTATAGATAATGTTAGTCCGCCACCATCAACAGAAAATGTTAGGCAACAAATGACTCCAGACTCCTCTTCCTCCAGTGATGAAGGTAAGCTGGTCATCAATCAAAAAACAACTCTTGTCCTTAAAGAACAGCAATTGTATATTTTGTTTATCGGAAAAAAAATATTGGATACTCAGTATTACTGCATGTAGAACATTCTGTGCTTGGATTAGTTTTGCTTAATGTTTATTTTGCTTTCTGCATACTAAATTCATGCTAGTGTAACTAACAACTGAGTTTTTGAAAACTAGATTTCATTTTAATTATTTTTATGTAGTAAAAATTACATTTCAAATTCTGTTGTTACAAGAAAATGTTAAATTATGCACTGTATAATTAGAAACAAAAGAAAAAGTATAACGGATGTGTCTTACATACAAGAAAAACTGCAACATTTACAACAGGCTTACAACCGCTAAGAGAACATTTCTTTGCTACCTTGGATGTGGAAGGGTCGCAGCCCAGTGTAAAAGGGGCTTAAGTGATGTTTATATTATTTGGTAAGAATAATTGATAATATTTGTCTGACAAAGGTGAAGGATATGGCCGAGACAATACTGAAGAATTGGGGGCATTTCCATTCACCAAACCGCTTCCCAAAGATGAAGATGTGGAGTTTCAAAAGCAACTTAAGCAGATGGGAGTCCGTAAGTATATTATATTAGTTGGTTTGCTTTTGGATACATTATGCTTTTTTTATTGACAGTATGAAATGACTCAGTCACGTGATCAAGGAACTTTAACAAAGGGTTGAAACATCATGCCTAATAGGTAAAAAAAAAATATGTGAAGTCTCTTTTGAAACCATTTACTTTTTTAACATCATTGCACGAGAAAATGGAAAAGTAGTATAAAAATTTAAGTTTCTATGGAGGGTAAGTATGGTAGTGCTTAGAGCTGTAGGAGAAATCATGCCTTGCGATCAAGTTTTCAGTCTCCCAATCATATGACATAAAAGTTTTTATCTACTTATCTTAATAATTAAGAAATATATTAGTTTATGTAGAACGAAAACAGAAATCCCAACATGGGAAGGAACCAGACAATACGTTAATTATTACAGAAATATTTGTTTATATTCTTTATATATGTATACCGACCAAAAACAACAACATGTTAAAAGAAAATGGGAAAATATTGATCGCATATTACAACTTAATTGACAAGCAACCAGCTGATGATATATCTCTTAGAATTCAATTGTAATGTTAACAACATGAACTGTCAATCTCTACCCGTTTGTGCAATACTGTAACTGTACAACCTTTTTTTTACTGAGAGAGAAAGTATGTAAATGTGTGTGTGTGGGTGTTTGTGTGCGATTCATAAGTCAAAAAATGTAAAAATGTAAGATTATATATTTATTTGCTACTGAATAAAAAAAAAGTTTTCAGTCTCCCAATGATACATGACAAAAATATGTTAACATGTGCTTGTGCACTTCAGTGTACAGCTCACCTAATAGGATGTATGTAATTGGACTTTACCTCTCAGTTTGTTGATTGTCCATCTATCTGTGTCACCACTTTTGAACTTAAATCATTGAAAAAGGGGTGTGCTTGAACAATCCTCCCCGAGATGACTTGACTAATGTTTCAACTTGCTGTATGTTTTTATGTCACAAACGTTATCTTTAGAAAACTTTAGTTGATTACTACAAATAATAGAGCCAGAAACATAAACTTGAACAGTGCTCCCATCAAAGTGTTTCTGACAAAATAGTCATGAAAATGGCAGAGTATGAAATATTGTCATAGAAAGATATAAAACCAAAAGGACTGGTTGTATTAATGCTTCTTGTATAATTATTTATTAGGATGTTCTGTCATGATTCTTATTCTTAATTTTTAGCTGCAAGAAAGAAGTTCATGGCCATTGCTCGAAAATTCTTATCGCGAAGAAAGAAGAAGTCCACTCCAAAAAATATGTATCCTTTCAAAAATGAGTACTAACATAATCAAATTTCTGCCTCAAGGCTACTAATGTCACCAAACTAAATGAAACCAGATATTAGTTTGATTTAAAAGGAAAAATTGTATATAGAGAAATAAATGTGCTGTATAAGAGATGTTGACTTGTAGTCCTTGATGTACTGCCAGATACAAAAATGCCTCTGGTCCATCTACTTTGAACCTACTCGAAGACAATGATGATGAAGAGCTTTTGGGGGGTGATGAAGAAGAGGAAAGGCAGCAACCTGAAACCCCAGAGTTTGAAGCTTTGGTAAAATAATTTTGCACTGTAACAATGACAAGATTATGATTGAATATGTTCCATAGTAAAGATTAATATATATACATATGGGTGGGAAATAAAATTATTTTTTGCTTTGTAAATACAATGTAATGTTTCATTATAGCTTTTAAGTTAGTTGCACCCATATGTTAGTGTAACTAGACTGTGAGCAAACATACAGACACTTGACAGAAACAAAGTACCATTATAAAAAATGATATGATTTTAGCTTAAAATTTTGTTGTTCATATAAGGACTGTCAAATTCAATATTATCATTTGATAAACATGACATTCCTGAAATTTTAGCCTGGAACAACAATCCGCAACAGGGGCACAACTGATGCATTTCCAGGTGATGATGATTGGAACAGGCAGATGCAGCAGTACTACATATGATATGACAACAGAGGTCAAAGATACAGACGTAACCAGCAATTCTGTATGTAAGACACAGAGGACAGTGATGCTGGCAACAAGAGCAATGTTTCGAATTGTAATATGCCTTTCTTGCCACTTTATGTTAAGTGAGCTATATGATGAAGTTAGGCCAAAGTTTTGGTGTGTGGTAAACAGGCATTGTTATTCCTGCACATATTATATCTGGTCATGAAATATAAACTATTTTCTCTCATTTTCAGGAAAGTCAAATGCAGATGAGCCAGGCTAGAATGTTATAAAAGCATGTTGAGATGACCATGTTTGTTCTCACAAATATTTTATAAAAGGGTTGATCTTTGTGGTATTTACTTGTGTTGTTAATTTTCAACAAGGGCAAGTGATATTTTAATTGAATATGAAAGTCCTGAAGGCCAAAATGTGTGACATACATATAGGTACTTGGCCATAGGATATCGTTTCATTATTCAAAAACAAGCCTGGCAGAAAACTACTCTGTGATTGTATTCTCTGTAATAGTAAAGTGTATGAGTTTTATAGTATATTGGTCAGAATGATCATGCAAGCTGGAATTGCAATGTTTTGTTTTTAATATATGGATGTAAAAGGCAGCTTGGGACCTGTGCAAGTGTAGTCCCTTATTGCAATTGCATACACAAGAATGTCTGAATTATTGAAGACCTTTTCAGAAAGAAATCTGGTTCTACTTTTAAAATATTAAAACAGTGTGTGGTAGAATTTGTCACCTACCTATGCTTTGATTTTCACAATTTTTTTATTTCATATCTTGTCGTGTAAATGTGCTCTTATATCCAACTGTCTGTACTTATTTTCAGCTATAATAGGGAGGTTTTAAAGTTACTCAAACTTTTTAAAAGTCCCACATTTATCTCCAAGCAAAATTACATACATATCAAGATCAGATCTTATCATTTCTTTGCATAATACTCACAAAAATGAGTTTCTTAAAAAATACTGGCATGCAACATCTAAAATAGTCAGATGGGCCATATTAAAAAAACCATGCCTAGAATTCAACAATTGAATTTAATAACTCAATAACGGGTACCGGAGAAGATCAGCATTGGTCAGAATTGTGCCGGAAGTGACGTGCAGTGGTGTTAGAAGCGAAGCTGAGTGGTCATTTTAACATAGAGGTGAACGGCAGTGAAGACGGTTTGTCGGAGGAAAAAGAAGTTTTCTAAACAACATGGTAAGATAACTCTCCTTTTTTACGCATTTTGGGCAGAGAATACTTGTAGAAATAATAGACGCATGATATGAAAACGTGACACGGAACTTGAAGGTGCAAAATCGTGCTTAATTTGCGGTCAACTTGTTTAGAAATAAATGCTGCGTCGACCGCCAGCGCGACAAAAAGCGTAAAGGGGAAATAATTCCCGGGAGTCTATAAATCGTTGTCATGTGGAAATTTGGCATTAATATAATCCGATATGTCCATATCTAAGTATTTTTGGGTGTTTTATGGTATGGGCTGCAATTACAACGATGTTTTAGAGGTCTTGAAGGACCTTGTGAAAACCAGGAAGTAGTTCGTAACTAACAAGTGGAATGTACCGATCTCCGACTGCTGTGCACAGCTGTATCTTTTTTTCAATATATTGACGAATTTTTAGATCTTTATATGTCCATCTGGCATGAAATTCCACACACATGATCACACTGATA